ATCTGAATCACATCCTCCACTCCAAATAAGCTCCAAAAGCACCTGTTTAACACTCCAAACCATGCAAAAGTCTCTTGGACCTAATGCAATCTCCTAAGTCCTAAAATAATGCCTAAAGACCTAAAATGTATGCAAATGAGACATAATTTGGACTAGAATATGTACATTAAATGATGCAATTTATGAATATATCAGTGATCTCTCCTCAATGGATAAGAATTTAGTTCCGAACCACCACACAAGAGGACTTCGCAGCCACAACAAATCAATTCGTGATGCTTTAGAGGAACAAGGATTCTACTGGGACCACAACCCTTATTCAACTTACAATTCCCACGGAGATATCCATGATCCTCTCTTTGATGAAGATATGTTGTCTGTCTCCCAAACCGAGATTGATGATATGCTTCAGGAGCTCAATGTATCTATGGATGACGGGTATTGGGTAGCTTGTGAAGTAGATGGAGAATCCTTTATCAAGTTTGTTAGAAAGAGGCCATCAAATGAAATTCCTTTGGATCATCACGTCATGGAAGCCAGCCATCAAGAAAAAGGAGGACCTCTTACCATCCCTAGTGACGATCTCGTCTCTACCAATTCGTTCAAGTGTTTTGGAGATGACATACAAGATCATAACTCACTTCCTCTTGATGAACCAAAGCCTTTTTCTCCTTCAGCTCCTCACCATCTTGACTGTGAGACAGACCACGTGAAAGAGGAGACACTAATGGTGACATCAAAACCACCATTGGAGGCGCTTTCTAAGACGAAGGATCCCGAGAAGTTTGATGCCCCGTTCTCAATCAAGGGAGTGAAATTTCGTGATTCTCCTAGTGACATTGGACCTGATTTGAATCTCATACCAAAGGCCATTGCAGAGAATATAGGTATTTCGATTTTTCATCCCTCTAAGATTTATATTCACTATGGAGATTTTTCTGGTGCAGCTCTACTTGGTTCCGAACCAGAATTTCCTTTTCTAGGGAAAGGTTGTCTTGTTTCTACTGAATCCCATGCTATGGAGATGAGAAAAAATGCAACAAAACCCTTGATACTTGGTACTTCGTTCCTAGCATCTGTTGGAACACTCATCAACTACCTGCATCAACATATGAGTTTCCTGAAGATCAACAAGAAAACCCCATACTCGGTGATTACTACAAAGAACTCTCATTGTTTGATCATAGGCAGCATAGAAGATCCAATATTTGACCCTGGAGGAGCTACAAAGGATGTTGGATACGTTCTAGAAAGAAGAGTACCCAAAGAAAACGTCGGATTTACAAGTTTGACAAACAAAGTTTCAGGTGTTTCTTATAAAACAAAAAAGCCAAAAAAAAAAATCAAAAAACAGAAAAAACCAAAAAGAAGGATGGTCCCTGACTGCTCGGCCCAGCAGGAACCAAGGAGAAGCAGGAAGAGGCCGCGAAATAAGCCCTTGCGATCGCAGACGTTCTGACCGCGGGAAACACCCCTTCGACCGCGGTCGTGATGTGTGCTGTCGTGTGTTGAGAGGGTTGTCAAGTTTTACCCTAAATGAAATCAATAGCCGCAAGTGCACAGCTGATCGATTGTAGTACTTAGGGATCGAATCCACAGGGAAGGATGATCTTTTCATGCAAAAAGCCTTTGAAATAAGTATAAAGTAAGGAAGTCTAGAACAAAAACGGTTTTGTAGGGGTTTGGTGGTATGTTTAAAATGTAAAAACGAAATATTAAAAGAGAATACGAGAATTAAATGACGTAATAACTAAACTTAACGAAAATGGTTAAAAATGCGAAAAACGGATATTCTAATTGCTTAAATGAAAATGAACTAAAAAGGAAATACAATATTGAACTAAAGCTTGAAAGAAAATCGGTGTAATCAATGGAAAAGAAGGCGTTGGGGTTCAGGGAAGTTTTCTCAGGGGTACGAACGATTCAAAACATTGCTAGAGAGTAAATTGATAAGATCTTAGCTTAAACTTTTCGAACTGGAGTCACGGACGTATGAATACGCCACTGTCATGATCATAGACAACTATCTCTCTCAACCCTGACCAGTAGGTTTCCACTCTGGCACTGGAAGAGAAGAGATGCATTATGTTTAAGACTCGTCCTAATTCACAAATCGCCCATAGGTAGGTTTCCGCTCCTATGTTTGTTTTGCTCTCCCAAACTAGATCTGATACCTGATGAACACTTTCGTGTCACCAAGCATCTGGATCAGATTGTAGTTCATGACGCTACTCTCATGCAGTAAAAACGAATTCAGAAGAAAAAGTTCTAAGATTCGGCTCAAAAGCTCATGGAATCCTCATCGAACATATAAATCTCCATCGAAAATCCCTTAATCCCAACAATAAAACTACTCAGACATAATGAACGAAATCAAAGACATAGTATTAAGAAGTAGAATAGAAACCGAAATTGAAAAAGAAAGAACAAGGGTTCAAGAGAACAAATCTCTCTCTCCTAAAAAGCTAAAGCAAAAACAATAAAAATATGAAGTAATGATAGATGATATGAGGTTACACGATATATCTTTTAGGGTTCCTAAGACATGTATTTATAGTGCTCAAGACCTCTCTGGACGTCACTTAGGGTTTCTCCAAATGTGGGCTTCAGAAATGGGCTTTTTGGGCTCAGAGGTTGATGGCCGCGGTCGGGATGCTTCTGACCGTGGGGAATGAGTGGTTTGCCGCAGTCGGGATGCTTCTGACCGTGGGGAATGAGTGTTTGGCCGCGGGTGGAAGTGCTTGCCGCCTGGTTTACGGGACATCTTGCTCTTCGCGTATCTTTTGATTGAACCGTTGGATTGTCAAGCTGTAACATGCACTAGAAAGCTGATACTTCCATCTTTAAGGTCTCCAAATTTGAGCTGGATCAGACGGTGAGAAAGCCTTCAATCAAGGGTGAACTTCTGACGGTTTGACTCTGAGCTGAAATCTGTTTTTCTATCCATTTTGTTAAGCTTTTCCCTAAGTTTCCTGAAAAGAGTCTTGGAACTACAAATACTAGAAAAACGTGATAAAAGTACGTAAAAGCAATTAAAAACATAGACAAAGTATTTCAAAACGATCCATAAAAGTGGTCAAAATACGGTGTTATCAGGTCGCGTCTTCCTGACCGCGGCCAAACACTGGTTTGCCGCGGTCGCGTGGCTCCTGACCGCGGCAAATGGTCGTTGAGATCAAACCCGACCCCAAACCACCCACTTCACCTCATTCCACCTCACCAATCCCCACTCCACCTCATTTATCACTTTCCACCACCTTCATCACCACCTATCACCTTCCCAAACCTCTTCGAATGAATCCGGTTCATCTCCACCAGCATCCCGGATCCAGGTAAGTTCTCTTTGGCTTCACCAATTCGATTATCTATGCATTTTTCTCATCCAATCTCGACTTGTTTCACACTGAGTACATTGTGATTTAAGTCTGGGGGAGGATTTCATCCCTTTCTAACCACTTTTCTTTCCTGAGTCTTGCATTATCTACACTTTTTGCATTTTCCTTAAAGTTTTTTCAAAACCGGTTTTCAAAACAAAATACGTTTTAAAGGGAATGATGAACATGAATCAATGATAGTTGACTGTGTGCTTTTAGACTGTTCCTAGTGACATGCTCATTCATTATTTAGGACTAGACTAGGCGGTAACTAAGCACATTTGAAACGAAGTACCCCAGAGGAAGTTGAATGATTTCGATTTAGATGAAGGGATACACTAGCTCTGTTTTATTTGGACTTAATTTGGACTTAATTTTCTCATTGAAGCATTAGACCAGGGAAACGAATCATACATTCAGGACTCCTTTATCCTTTTTACCACTCTCTGTTGATCCTGAATGGCTAGTTCATCTTTAGCTAGTTCCCCACCTTAACCAGTCCTCTTTCAAACCACATGCACTCTTGTTTTATATTGTCTTATATGCAGATAAGTGCAAAAACGTTGGAGAGAAAGAGGAACGACGCAGTTTTCAGTCACCAAGGACAGAGACCTGCGATTTACCGGAAAAGTTCCCGGAAGGATTCAACACAAGAGGAAGCTCAGTTTGCCTTAAAAAAATCTCAAATTTTGGTACAATCTCGTCCTCTAGTTTCTCTCTCTTTAAAAGGCATTTCCTTTTCAAAAAAAAAAAAAAAATCCGAAAATAAGAAAAGAAAGGAAATAAAAGCCTTAGAGAGTCTAGAGAGGTCGAATTTTAAGTCCCAAGGCAACTGGAGTTCGATTTTATGGAGTTTTGGAGATCTTTTTCTGAAACCCGGAAAGAATCTAAGTCTGGGGGAATAGCTGTTTACAACAAGGAAGGAAGGATTATGCAACAACATTTGGCAAGAAGAAGTGACTGAAAATTGCGGTCATCAACAGGTCCTTATCTCTCTTGTGGTTTTGCATATTATCTAGCATCCTCCAGATCTTTAGGTAACCCGAAACACTTTAACTCCACCACTTAAACAGCCCTTTAATGCCAAACGCCGTCTACCCTGGATGATGTCTTTAATGAGAACTCACTATTGAACTTAATGAATGTAGAGAGCTAGTTGCCTGGAATCAAGATTTAGATTGTTTAATTTTTGCATGACGGAAAAAGTGGACTAGTATCTCTTGTGCATTGGTGAGAATTTTCTAGACTAAGTTGTGGATTGATGCATTATTTTGAAAATAAAGAACCCAATAACAAAGTTAGTAGCTAATGAATGAAAGACACAAAGTTAGAGACTCTTACCGGTGGGTTGCCTCCCACCAAGCGCTTGTTTTAAGTCGCTAGCTTGACTTGGAAAACCATTTAAGCTTGAGGAGGATCACTTAAGGTGAGTGATTCACCGTCTGTGACATTTGGACCAGCAAGGTATGGCTTCAATCTCTATCCATTGACAACGAACTCTACTCCTTAAGTGTCCAGCAACACTACAGCTCCATATGGCCGAACCTCTTTGATGGTGAATGGTCTAGACCACCTTGATCTCAGCTTTCCATGAAAAAGCTTCAATTAAGAATTGAACAGCAGCACTTGATCGTTTGGTGCAAAACTCCTGTTGAGAATCCTCTTGTCATGGAAAGCTTTAGTTTTATCCTTGTAGATTTTCGAGTTTTCATAGACCAGGTGCCTAATTTCCTCCAACTCGTGCAGCTGCATCACTTTCCTCTCAGGAGCACTTCTAACATCGAAATTCAGCACCTTCACTGTCCAAGCAGCTTTGTACTCTGATAACACCGTATTTTGACCACTTTTATGAATCATTTTGAAATACTTTTTCTATGTTTTTAATTGCTTTTAAGTACTTTTATTACGTTTTTCTAGTATTTGTAGTTCCAAGACTCTTTTCAGGTAACTTAGGGAAAAGCTTAACAAAATGGATAGAAAACCAGATTTCAGCTCAGAGTCAAACCGTCACAAGTTCACCCCTGATTGAAGGCCTTCTCACCGTCTGATCCAGCTCAAATTTGGAGACCTTAAAGATGGAAGTATCAGCTTTCCAGCACACTTTACAGCTTGGCAATCCAACGGATCAATCAAAAGATACGCGAAGAGCAAGATGTCCCGTAAACCAGCCGGCAAGCGTTTCCACCCGCGGCCAACAGAGCATTTCCCGCGGTCACAACCGGCGCGACCGCGGCCAGCCACCCATTCCCCGCGGTTGCACTCATCCCGACCGCGACCAGCTAACTCCGAGCCCTAAGGCCCATTTCTGAAGCCCGTATCACTTTCCCAGCCTCAATTCCGGAACCCTAGACACCAGAGAGTATTGGAGACTATAAATACATGTCATTTAGGTCGTTTTTAAAGAGAAAAAAGAGAGACGAAATACTTTACAGAAATTTTACTTTAAGCTTTGTTTTTAGGTTTTAGGGACAGAGAGATCTGTCTCTTGAACCCTTATTCTTTCTTTTTCAATTTCGGTTTCTATTCTACTTCTTATTACTATGTTTTTGATTTCGTTCATTATGTCTGAGTAGTTTATTGTTGGGATTAAGAGATTTTCGATGGGGATTTATATGTTCGATGAGGATTCCATGTGCTTTTGAGCCGAATCTTAGAACTTTTTCTTCTGAATTCGTTTTTACTGCATGAGAGTAGCATCATGAACTACAATCTGATCCAGATGCTTGGTGACACGAAAGTGTTCATCCGGTGTCAGATCTAGTTTGGGAGAGCAAAACAAACATAGGAGTGGAAACCTACCCAAGGGCGATTTGTGAATGCTGACGAGTCTTAAACATAATGCATCTCTTCTTTTCCAGGGCCAGAGTGGAAACCTACTGGTCAGGGTTGAGAGAGCTAGTTGTCTATGATCACGACAGTGGCGTATTCATACATCCGTGACTCCAGTTCTAAAAGTTTAAGCTAAGATCTTATCAATTTTACTCTCTAGCAATGTTTCGAATCGTTCGTACCCCTGAGAAAACTTCCCTGAAGCCCATCACTTTCTTTTTTATAGATTCACATCCTTTTATTTCAAGCTTTAGTTCAATATTTTCATTCCCTTTCAATCGATTTTCATTTAAGCAATTAGGTTAGCCGTTTTTCTCGTTTTTACCCGTTTTTCGTTAAGTTTAGTTATTAGGTCATTTTAATTCCGTATTTTCTCGTTAAGATTTGTTTTTACATTTTAAACACACCACCAAAACCCCCACAAAACCGTTTGGTTCTAGACTTCCTTACTTTATATTTCTTTCGAAGGCTTTTGCAGGAAAGATCTTTCCATCCCTGTGGATTCGATCCCTAAGTACTACAATCGATCAGCTGTGCACTTGCGGCTATTGATTTCATTTAGGGTAAAACTTGACACCCTCACAACACCGACATCATACTCAAGTTCCACTGGGAGATGACATGCTTTTCCATACACCAAGTGAAATGGTGTGGTCCCCAAAGGTGTCTTGTAAGCTGTCGTATATGTCCAAAGAGCATCATCAAGCTTCACAGACCAATATTTCCTTGTGGTGCTTACAGTTTTCTGCAAAATGTTTTTGATCTCCCTGTTGGAAATCTCGACATGCCCACTCGCTGAGGATGGTATGAAGTCACCACCTTGTGCTTTACACCATTCTTCTTCAACAAGTTCTCAAAAACTTTGCTGATAAAGTGAGAACCTCCATCGCTGATCACAACTCGAGGCACACCAAACCTTGGGAATATGACAGATTTGAACATCTTCAAAACCACATTTGCGTCATTTGTAGGGCTAGCCAAATCTTCGACCCACTTTGACACATAGTCAACTGCCACCAGAATATACTCATTGCCATACGATGATGGAAATGGCCCCATGAAGTCGATACCCAGACATCGAAAATCTCCACTTCTAGGATGAAGTTCTGCGGCATCTTGTTTTTCCTGCTTATGTTCCCTTGCATCTGGCATGTGTCACACCTGGATATGAATCTCTGTGCATCTCGGAACATAGTAGGCCACCAATACCCAGCCTGAAGAATCTTTGAAATTGTTTAAAAAGTGGCAAAGTGACCAGCATAAGGTGAACCATGGCAATGAAACAAGAGCCCAGGTATCTCTTCATCAGCTACACATCTCCTGAAAATTCCATCAGAGTAATACGTGTATAAGTAAGGCTCATCCCAAAAGTAATGCCTTACATCCTTCAGGAACTTCTTCTTCTTGTTTCCCACGAAATCCACAGGTTTCTGCTCTGCAGCAAGGTAGTTTGCAATCTCTCCAAACTAAGGAAAACTGGACTGTCGATTGATGTCTACTGAGTTGCAAAAGTTCGTCGGAGCAGGTGCTCCAGGCTGGAGCAGGTGCTCGTCGAACCCATAAACATCTATGGCGTAAACCTATTCATCAGGGAGGCTTTCATCTAGTGGGATGTCATCATCGATCTTCAGCCTTTACAAGTGGTCTGCAACACCATTCTCAATACCCTTCTTGTCCTTGATCTTTAGGTCAAACTCCTGCAACAAGAGGATCCATCGAATGAGCCTTGGTTTGGCATCCTTCTTCGTCAACAGGTACTTCAGTGTGGCATGGTCTGTGTGGACAACAACATTCGATCCAATAAGATAAGACCTGAATTTCTCAAATGTATAAACCACTGCTAAATGCTCCTTTTCGGTTGTGGCATATCTGCACTGAGCTTCGTCGAGTATTCGGCTTGCATAATTAATGATGTGGAGCCTCTTTTATTTCCTCTGACCCAAATCTGCTCCCACTGCATAATTACTAGCATCAGTCATGAACTCAAAAGGCAGTTCCCAATCAGGTGGCTGGACAGTAGGAGCGCTAACCAAAGCTCATTTTCTCGTATGGAAAGCCTCCAAACATGCATCATCGAAATCAAATTTCACATCCTTGCACAGCAGCTGCGTCAGAGGTTTAGCAATCTTCGAGAAATCTTTGATGAAGCGTCTGTAAAACCCAGCATGACCCTGAAAACTGTGGATCCTTTTGACTGAAGTTGGTGGCTGCAGACTCATCATCACCTCGATCTTTGTCCTGTCTACTTCGATCCCTTTCTCTGAGATTTTATGTCCCAGCACGATCCCATCTCTCACCATGAAATGGTATTTCTCCCAGTTGAGCGGTGTGTCGGTGTTGAGGGTTGTCAAGTTTTACCCTAATTGAAATCAATAGCCGCAAGTGCACAGTTGATCAATTGTAGTACTTAGGGATCGAATCCACAGGGAAGGAGGATCTTTTGCTGCAAAAAGCCTTTGAAATAAGTTAAAGTAAGGAAGTCTAGAACAAAAACAGTTTAGTGGAGGTTTGGTAGTGTCTTTAAAATTTAAAAACGAAATATTAAAAGAGAATACGGAAATTAAATGACGTAATAACTAAACTTAATGAAAATGACTAAAAATAAAAAACGGATATTCTAATGCTAAAATAAAATGAACTAAAAAGGAAAGACAATATTGAACTAAAGCTTAAAGAAAATCGGTGTAAATCAATGGAGAAAAGGCGTTGGGGTTCAGGGAAGTTTTCTCAGGGGTACGAACGATTCAAAATATTTCTAGAGAGGAAATTTTGTAAGATCTTAGCTTAAACTTTTCGAACTAGAGTCACGGACGTATGAATACGCCACTGTCGTGATCATAGACAACTATCTCTCTCAACCCTGACCAGTAGGTTTCCACTCTGGCCCTGGAAGAGAAGAGATGCATTATGTTTAAGACTCGTCCTAATTCACAAATCGCCCATAGGTAGGTTTCCACTCCTATGTTTGTTTTGCTCTCCCAAACTAGATCTGATACCTGATGAACACTTTCGCGTCACAAAACATCTGGATCAGATTGTAGTTCATGACGCTACTCTCATGCAGTAAAAACGAATTCAGAAGAAAAAGTTCTAAGATTCGGCTCAAAAGCTCATGGAATCCTCATCGAACATATAAATCCCCATCGAAAATCCCTTAATCCCAACAATAAAACTACTCAGACATAATAAACGAAATCAAAGACATAGTATTAAGAACATAAAAGTGGTCAAATACGGTGTTATCATGAGCTATAAAATTATATCAAAGCTCATGTGCAAAAGACCACTACAAGAAAACAGTCGTTTTCCAACGGTCCATTACAACGGTTTTAAAGTCGTCGCAAACTTACAACGATTTTACGACGAGTTTACGTAAAAAAAAAAACCGTGTTAAAATCGTCGTATAGAAACATTGTCGTAACTTCGACGTACAATTTACGACGAATTACGAGAAATATACATCGATAACGAGAGATTTGATATTGAATGCAAAATCGTCGTAAATTCGATGTACAATTACGACGAATATACGACGACTGGATTTCGATGTAAAAGATACGACGCTTTTACGTCGACAAATAAGTTAGGTGAAGAATATTTAAAACATGTTTACCTAAATAATGTAGAAGAAATATTTTATCGCATAATCGTCGTAAAAGCGTCGTAATATTATTGTTGAATGTAAAATCGTCGTAAAAAGTCGTCGTAAAAGCGTCGTAAAGTCCGAAATTTTCCTATAAATAGATCTTCATTCCTTTTTTCAATCACAACACATCATCATTCAAACATAAGAGCATCATCATCCTGGAGACCCATTGTAAGTCTCTTAAATTTTAGTATAGTGTTGTAAATCCTTATATATTGGGTTGTCCATTGCTGGAAACCCGAATTAGGAGTTATTTATTTTGAAAAAAAGAAGTTATAATATTAAAAGGTTAATTTACTCCATTCACGTGGCTAGACTTGACACAAGAGACTAGCTCTCATTTATTGTCTAATCAATAAAAAGAGATAGTATTTTGACTTTATTTCAAGATATGTCTATATACGAGCTAAGAAACTGGATGTATATGCGTAAAGATTCAGATGGGGCGTTGACAGAAGAGTTCAAGAACGGGTTAGAAATATTTATGTATCAGGCTACAAATATGGAGAGAACAAAAGATAGCGGAAAGATGTTTTGTCCTTGTTTGAAATGCAAGAATACGAGGTATACACTAACCAAAACCGTGTGGACGCATTTATTAAATAGAGGGTTTATGCCGCAATATTTTGTTTGGTATCTACATGGAGAAGGATATGGCAGTAATACTCATGGGAATGCTGGTGGTAGTAGTAATTATCAAAGTCATGTTGATTTTGATGAATCGAATTATGGTCATCAGCCTAATCAGTATCAATCTGATCAAAGTGTAGATCATGATAGGATGCATGAGATGGTGACTGATGCATTTCATGAAACGCATACTGGTAATGCTGTTGAGAAACCTAATGTAGATGCCAAACGATTTTATGATTTGTTAGACAATGCTAATCAGCCAATCTACGAAGGATGTAGAGAATGCCTGTCTAAATTATCGTTGGCAGCTAGGATGATGTCAATAAAACAGATCATAACCTGGCTGAGGTTTGCATGGATGATTGGGCTGATCTTCTGAAAGAGTATCTACAGGAGGATAACTTGGCAGCGGGAACATACTATGAAATACAAAAGTTGATTTTTAGTCTTGGTCTACCTTCTGAGATGATAGATGTATGTGTTGACAATTGTATGATTTTTTGGAAAGATGATGATCAGCTGGAGGAATGTCGATTTTGCCAAAAACCAAGATACAGACCGCAAACTGGTGGGCGTAAAAAGATACCGTACCAACGTATGTTGTATCTCCCTATAACTGATAGGTTAAAACGGCTTTATCAATCTGAAAGGACAGCTGCATCAATGAGATGGCATGCGACGATCTTACGTCGATGTTTAACGACGACTTAACGACGGTCCAGGCGAAGACCAAATCGACGCATTTCGATGTAAAATCGTCGTAAACTGTATGACGCATTTACGACGATCTGTTTCCCTCGATGTTAAGACGAAACGAAACCGTCGTATATTATATGACGATTTTACGACGATTTGTCTATTACGACGATGAGTTTACGACGATTTTGAAATCGTCGGTAGTCCGTCGTAATAGTCCTATTACGACGAAATAACGACCATTTTGGCCGTTGTAAAATGGTGTTTTTCTTGTAGTGGACTAAAGAAGACATTACCTAATCTGATATCAGATACACAATCGGCATTCATGGCTAGGCGTTTTATTACAGACAACATTCTGTTGGCAAAGAAATTTTTCATGCTCTCCATACCAACACCATTTGTAGGGAAAACTAAACCCAGTTGAGCACCAGATGTTTCTCCTCACACCGCTGAAAGACTCTGCACAAGTTAGACAAAACAGACAGAAAAGAAGCTTCCATAGACAGATAAATCATCCATGAAAACTTCCATTATGTCTGCAATCAGATCAGTAAAAATCGACATCATGCAGAGTTAGAAAGTCGCCGGGGCATTGCACAAGCCAAATGAAATTTTGCGGTACGCAAAAGTGCCATAAGGACATGTGAAAGTCGTCTTCTCCTGGTCGTCTGGGTGGATTGTGATCTGAAAGAAACCTGAATAGCCATCTAAAAAGCAGCAGTAATGATGGTTACCCAATCTTTCAAGAATGTGATCAATAAATGGCAAAGGGAAATGATCCTTACGAGTTGCAGCATTCAATTTCCTGTAATCTATGCACATTCGATGCGCAGTAACAGTTCTAGTTGGTATCAATTCATTCCTATCATTTTTGATCACAGTGATGCCACCTTTCTTATGAACTACATGAACCGGACTAACCCAATTACTGTCTGAAATTGAATAAATGGCTACAGGGAATTGTCTACGGTTCATTCTAAAAGGAAATCTTGTCTCGGTGGGGGAAACAAACATTTGTGGAATCAAGACCTTTTGACTAATATACTCACCAGTTATATGGCTAGTTTGAATAACATGTTTGACCAATTGTGTTACCAAGACTCTTGTTCTATTTCATAAACCATTTCTAGAATCAACATTCCAAAGCAATATAATAGCTGTTCGTATTTTCAAT